GGTGAAAATCTATCTTCAAAGATTTATTGATTTGCAAAATGAACATGTGAAAAATTTTAGCTGTGTGATCTTGATTGGAGAAATTGGAAGCCTTACTGAAGATAGAAAAAAGTTTTTTTCATTCTATCATGTTTCTATATCATTATTGGTGGAGCTTAAGTAGAAAAGCTAATACAAGCATTAAGCAATTTTATTCAAGCTTGAAATGGGATTTTTTTTTTTTTTTGGTCCAAGAAAATTATGCTAGTCGATCTCAGCTTATTTCAATTTGACTCACAAACTGCATAAGACAAGAATTTAGGGCCATGTCCAAAACTTGAAGAGTTCGGTTTTATGTTTTATTGGTACTTCACAGCAAATTAAAACCATCATAAGTACTTTAAACAATAAAATACAAAAAAGTTTGTGTGTATTCTCACACTTTGTTATCTTTAACAGCGAAAATGCTCTATATTACACATCTAAAAAAGAAAAAACTTAATTCATTGCACTAATATTAACACTAAGATTTTACTTTGTGATATGTCAACATGTGGTATATTAAAAAGGGTTTGACTGAGGAGTGCTTCCGGAGGACTCATAATACAAGAATTCAGATGTTAATATTTTTGGCAAAAGTGTAATTATTTTGGAAAAGTGTCCAAATTTAAGAAGTATGTTCACATAATAAGTCAGATCTAATTTAGGCATTTTAATAAATGCCTTGTTAGAAAAATCTTATTACATTAATCGTTCCTAATTACAATTATAGTGTTAAAAAAATCAAAATTTCAATTCAAAATGAAAAATTTAACTAATTTAACTATACTTAAACTATTGACTAGCTAACTAATTTAACTATAATAAAATCAAAATTTGAATTCAAAATGAAAATTTTAACTAAATTAACTATGCTAAACTAAAACTATTGACTAGCTAATAGTAGATGATAATTAGAATTTAATTGAGTGTTGACTAGCTAATTAGAATTTAATTAGAATTTAACTAATTTAACTATACTAAAACTGATGACTAGCTAACTAATTTAACTATAATAAAATCAAATTTTGAATTCAAAATGAAAAATTTAACTAATTTAACTATACTAAAACTATTGACTAGCTAATAGTAGATGATAATTAGAATTCAATTGATTGTTAAAAAAAATCAGAATTTAACTATACTAACTTAGTTACTACCTAAGTTATTATATGAGCCTAAAAATTAGGATAACTCATAAAAAAAATTATAACATATCAACGGAACAATAAAAAATAAAACAAAACAATCCTTTCCAAATTATCAACAAAAACCATTTAGGCATGACAAACCTAATACAATTAATTATCTCCCCTGTAAGTATATTTACTCCAGATTCAATAACACGTATATCATTATTATAGACAAATATTCGCACCACATGCACATGAATTTCCATTTGGATACCATTACATGCATTGCATTATAAACAGAACCCTAAAATTATACATGCTAAGCTTAAACCTAGCCATTGCCTTTTAGTGGGGCTTATTGAATCGGGTGCATGTGAGTGGGTGCTGTTGTCGGTGATTGCGTGGCGCTATATTGTGTATATGGTGCGTTGAGTCATTGTCCAGCTGGCTGCTGCATGGTACGTTTGGTCATTGTTGAGCAAATGCTGGATTGATCCGAGGTCGCTGGGTGACTGTGATGTCAGTTTTAACTCTGTTGTTTTTCGCTTTCGGTTAGGCTATAGGGAGCTTTCTTCTCTTCTTTCTTTCTAGTTCTCTTCTATTTATTAGTTTTTTATTTTTTCTTTTGTATGTGTTGCCCCATAATAACTAAACCCTGTCACGCCATTGCATCAGTATTACCATACAACACTCTTCTCATAAATAACACCAAAATTATATATACATATTAAACACAAACCTGGGCAGTGCGTGGCACCCCAAAACTAGTAATGAAGAAAAAGATGTACTAAACATCTAGTTGCAATAGTGGTTAGATTTGAGGTTATGCAGATAATAATTATATTCAAGTGAATGCCTACATAGTTTGGCCAAGAAAGTGTTTCATCATAGTTGTTAGAGAATGGTATAGATCCAATTAGGGTTAAGCATTAGATTTGTTACCATTATGGCCCAATATCATTTGCTGCTAATATACCTTCCAAGTTCCCAAGAAGCCAAAAATGGAGTACTACCATAGAAAGTGAAAATTTCTTTTTTAACTAAAATATAGGATCAACTGTAGGATCTGGCTTATGAGACCCATGAGAAGATTTTAATTTTTAAGAACTTAATTTTGCGCATAAAAATTAGTCCGAAAATTGAAGATACTGCAATTGAATATCATCGTATTTGAAGTCAAATAATGGAGTTTTTTTTTTGTTCCCTCGACAATGTCATATATTTTCAATGTACATAAGAAAATTATATGCGTAGCTATCGAACAAAATTAAAATTTACAATGGCAAAAATTAAAGACCACTTAGTTAAAAATTAACTTCAAATGCATTACCAACTATGGAACAAACCCCATCAGAAGGAATATTAGACTATACCATTATCCAACTTTAGTCCAACACTATAGTTATGCATGACTTTGCCCTAAGGTCTCAAAGTCAAAGGCACTGTTTGCATTGAAGGAATGGAAGGAAAAGGAAAGAAAATGATACCACTTAAAAAAAAAAAAAGAAAGAGTAAAGGAAAGTGGTTTACATCCACATTGTTTGGTATAAGGAGAATAAAGAAAATATTGATTTTTTGTTTGGATTGTGGAAGGAAAGAAAAAGAAAAGATCAAGTGTTAATTTACTGAAAAAGATAGGCACACATCGATCTTTGAAAAAAATTTAAATTATTTTAATAAATTTAATTTTATTGATGTTTTAAAGTCGGTGAAAACCATAATTCATCAAATTAATTAGATCCTTTCCCTTTCTATCCCTTCCTATTCTTTCCTTTCCCTTTTCAAAAATTGATCCAAACAATCAAAATCAAAATTTTCCAATTCCTCTTCTTTCTTTTCCCTTCCATTCCCTCAATCGAAAATGGTGAATATACTTTGTGCCAATTTAAATTGTTTTGGATGAATTTGTTGCATGTAATGTTTGGCATTCTATATAGAAACATTCAAAATTATAAAAAAAAAAAAGAGAGAGGAAACATTCAAACTTTTAAGAGATTGGTCATACTTTCTTAAAATAAAGAGAAAAATGCAGTTTTGGTACCTAAACTTTGACACATGAGCGGTTTTAGTTCCCAAATTTTGCACGAAAACAAATTTGGTACCCAAACATTCAAATTTTGAGCACATTAAGTACCCTTGACGATTTTTTTCCAAATTGTTACCAGAAACAGCCATGTAACTGTCACGTGTCCGGCCAAAATGGAATAAAAAAAGGTCAAAATGCTGTTTTGGTACCTAAACTTTGACGCACAAGTGGTTTTAATCCCCAAATTTTGGACAAAAACAAATTTGATACCTGAACTTTCAAATTTTGAGCACATTAAGTATCCTTGATGATTTTTTTTCCAAATTGTTACCGAAAAAAGCCATATGACAGTCACATGTCCGGCCATAATTGTATAAAAAAAGGCCAAAAAATGTCAAATGCCATTATAATACTAAGTATTAAATTTAAGGACTAATAGCGTAATAAAGAAAAAATTCAAGGACTAAATAACATCACATGAGTCAACAAAACCCAAGAACCGATACAAATGAACTCCAATTCCAGACAAATTTTGTGACTTGATTCTTAGATTAATGTACTGGAATTGGAGTTCATTTGTATCGGTTCTTGGGTTTTGTTGACTCATGTGATGTTATTTAGTTCTTGAATTTTTTCTTTATTATGCTATTAGTCCTTAAATTTAATACTTATAGCTAGTTTGGGAGGAAAGAAATGGATAGAAAAGAAAGGCTTTGTAAGGATTATAAATTCTTTCCATCGTTTGAGAGCCAAAAAGAGAAGGAAAAGAAAGGATTTGGACTTCCTTCACTTCTCTCTGTGTATTGGAAAACTTTCCGCCCTAAGTTGGGCGGAAAAGAAAGGAAGGGACAGTGCTTTAAGTGAATTTTTCAATATGACAATATTACCCTCAAAATCATGATACAAAAATTTTAAATTCCGGATGAGTCCCTCAGCTTACTTGATTCACATTTATTTTCAAAAAGGGCAATTTTGTAAAATAACCTATTTGAGCATCTTTTCTTTTCATCTGTTTTCAACTCCCAAACAAAAGAAAACCACTTACCTTCTTTTCTTTTTTAAAACTCCCAAACAACTTAGATAGAAACTTAAATCCTTTCCCATCCTTTCTTTTCTTTTCTAACTTACCCTTTCTCTTCTTTTCTTTTCTATTCTAAACTCCCAAACTAGCTATTAGTATTAGAATGGCTTTTGACATTTTTTGGGCCTTTTTTTATATTATTGTGGCCAGACACGTGATTGTCATATGGCTTTTTTCGATAATAATTTAGAAAAAAATCGTCAAGGGTACTTAATGTGTTCAAAATTTGAAAGCTCGGGTATCAAATTTGTTTTCATCAAAAATTTGGGGATTAAAACCGCTCGTGCGTCAAAGTTTAAGTACCAAAACTGCATTTTTGGTCTTTTTTAATTCCATTTTAGCCGGATACGTGACTGTCACATGGCTTTTTTCGGTAACAATTTGGAAAAAAATCGTCAAGGGTACTTAATGTGTTCAAAATTTGAAAATTCGAGTACCAAATTTGTTTTCGTCCAAAATTTGGGGACTAAAACTGCTCGTGCGCCAAAATTTAGGTACCAAAATTGCATTTTTCTCTAAATTAAAAGTACTAAAATATAATTGCACCTTCGTCTTAAGTCCACCCCTCAACCACTCCCAAAGTCCAATTCCAAAGAAAGTCCCACCCACCTACCACCCAACGACAAATAACACTTACTACTAATAAAATAAAACAAAAAAGATAAGAAATTAATTCTCCACCGAAAAACTTACCATAAGTCTGATAAACAATAAAATGATATTGCATAAGGAAAAGAAGGGGTAATTATGTCCACCAACCGCATTCCACTTCCCTTTAAACCCCAAGCTCCGCTCCCTCAGTTCCCTGCCTCTCTCTCTCCCCTCCTCTCTGTATCATTTCCCTCCCGCCTCCCTGCACCGCCACCAACCACCGTCCTCCGCCGTTGCCACCGCCACCCCGAACCACCCAAAAAAAACCTCATGGATCCCGTTCCAGAATGGGGAAACACCCCACTTAGCACCGTAGACCCCGAGATCCACGACCTAATTGAGAAAGAAAAACGCCGACAATGCAGCGGCATCGAGCTAATTGCCTCGGAAAACTTCACCTCCTTCGCCGTAATTGAGGCCCTCGGCAGCGCTCTCACGAACAAGTACTCAGAGGGCATGCCCGGAAACCGCTACTACGGAGGGAATGAGTACATTGACGAGATCGAGAACTTAACTCGATCTCGGGCACTGCAGGCGTATAGGCTTGACCCTACCAAGTGGGGGGTCAATGTGCAGCCGTATTCCGGCTCACCTGCGAATTTTGCAGCATATACGGCGGTGCTCCAGCCCCATGACAGGATCATGGGTTTGGATTTGCCCTCTGGTGGGCATTTGACACACGGGTATTATACCTCGGGTGGGAAGAAAATCAGCGCCACCTCGATTTATTTCGAGAGTTTGCCCTATAAGGTGGATCCCAACACGGGTTATATTGATTATGTTAGGTTGGAAGAGAAGGCGTTGGATTTTAGGCCCAAGTTGATTATTTGTGGTGGGAGTGCTTATCCTAGGGATTGGGATTACAAGAAGTTGAGAGAGATTGCGGATAAAGTTGGTGCCCTTTTGCTCTGTGACATGGCTCATATTAGTGGCCTTGTTGCTGCTCAGGTATATGCTTAATTCTTGTTAGTTTTAATGAAATTTCAGTTCTTTAGGTACAATGTGCATCTGATCTTACTTTTTGGATCTGGGCTTGGGTATCTTGTTTTTGAAAATGCATGTGATTAGTTGTTGGATCTGTTTTGTGATTAGTATTGTGGGATTATAATGTTTAAATTGTTGGATCTGATCAAGGAAGGGTAAGCTTGTGGTGGTAGGTTGCTCAAAATAATCATAAAAAAAGCTTTTTATGGTAGGTATGCCTAATTGGAATCTTAGGATTTGCATTTAAGGACTTGGATTGGCAATAGTAGTACTATATGTTTAAGAAGCTAGAGTTTCAGTACTTGTTTGTATGATCTAAGATTATGAGATTTAAAGATTCTGAATTTGATTCGGAATGTACATTGACTATTTCCTTGGAGTAATGTTGTGGATCTGTTGATTCAGTTTAATATTAGTTTATTGTGTGTTTTACTCTGTTGTCGTTGTGTTGGTGAATCTTGTAAACTTGAGGATTATTATATTCAAGAAATATGAGTTAAGATCTGAGGCAACCTAATACAATTTATATGAGTTTATTCTGATAGAACTTTTGGCTACTAGTGCAATTTTCTAGATCTAGTGATGCATATGCCAATTTCATCTATCTGGCATCTGTTTATTGTGTATTTGTACTTTAATGGAAACTTCTGTTTTGACTAAACAAAGAAAGTACAAGTAGCTCTGATATTTGATTCAAGAGACAGTCACATAGGATTTCATGCGATGTGAACCAGTGCTCCCTGCATTGGGATTCTTTTGAGAATATTGTGCTGCAACATGTTGATATTGCAGATCATATTGATAACCATCACCTCAAATATTTGTGATTCAGGAAGCAGCAAATCCTTTCGAGTACTGTGATTTGGTAACAACTACTACCCACAAGAGCTTAAGGGGCCCTAGAGCTGGAATGATCTTCTACAGGAAGGGTCCTAAACCACCCAAGAAAGGTCAGCCTGAGGATGCAGTTTATGATTTTGAAGATAAAATCAACTTTGCTGTTTTTCCTTCACTCCAGGGCGGTCCTCACAACCACCAGATTGGTGCTCTGGCTGTGGCTTTGAAACAAGCAATGTCTCCTGGGTTCAAGGCTTATGCTAAGCAAGTCAAGGCCAATGCTGTGGCCCTTGGAAATTACCTAATGAGCAAGGGATACAAGCTTGTAACTGGTGGAACTGAGAATCACCTTGTCTTGTGGGATCTTCGCCCTCTTGGTTTGACAGGTAAAGGAAATGTAATTTCTTAGCCTTGATATATTAAGACTTTATCCACTTACATTGTGCTAATTGAGGTAAATCCTTGCAGGTAACAAGGTGGAGAAACTTTGTGACTTGTGCAACATTACTGTCAACAAGAATGCTGTATTTGGTGACAGCAGCGCTTTGGCCCCTGGAGGGGTTCGCATTGGTAAGAGTTCTCACATCACATGTTTTATGAACTAACCTTTAACCTTTGATATGGGATTAATGAGTTCCTTTTTTTTGTTTTTTTGTTTCAAGATGCAGCTTTTCTGTTTGTTGTTTGTATTTGGGCTCACTTTATAATGTTGTTTTATTGTATTTTACTTTATTTTTTGCTTGCTACTCTCTCTGATTTCTACTGAGTTACCCACATTACAGTCAACACTTAGTGCAATGTTAGGCCTATGTTGATTTTGGATTACACTTAAATCAATTTAATAGTTTAGTCTCGCAATGCTTCTTGAGGCATGTCAATAATGGATTCTGTTGGCAGGTACTCCCGCCATGACATCAAGGGGTTTGGTTGAGAAGGACTTTGAGCAAATTGCTGAGTTTCTCCACAGGGCTGTGGCTCTCTGCCTGAAGATCCAGAAAGAGCGTGGAAAGCTTTTGAAGGACTTTAACAAGGGGTTGGTTAACAACAAGGACATTGAGGAACTTAAGGCTGATGTCGAGAAATTTTCTACCTCCTTTGACATGCCTGGCTTCAAGGTGTCTGAAATGAAATATAAGGATTAAGTATCGTGCATCAACTCTTTTTTTTTTTTCTTTCTAATGTTTGATCTATTAATTTTCCCCCCCTTCAATTTCATCAAGTGCTTAGGAAAAATAATGTAATTTTTACCACTGCTGCACTACTTCTGGTTTTAGAGTAGTAGTCACACTTGCTTTACACAGAGTTGTAGTTGCATCAGGTGTATTATGAGCTTTGGAATGAAAATGTTGGAAAAGTAAGAGCTATCTTTGCCTCAGGTCCATTGCTCAAGAAAGAACTGATGTTCTTTGATCACTTGATATTTGCAATTGTCTAGTGTATGTTTGTCATACCAACTCAACAGTTGGATGAGATAGTCTGTGTTAGTGCGTAGTGTTGTTGATGCTCATTGTAATTTTATGATTGGCAAAGTTGTCAGGAAGAGAACCTTGTCAAGTTTTGGACTGACTTCAAATCTGAGTCCGGGAAATGCACTTCACCATGATAAACGCTCTAAATGAAGTATCCAACCAATACAAGGAATTTTGGACCATGTCCAATTCTTGAAGCATTTTCCTCGTTCAGCCCCTTGATTAACCGATGATATAAAAGCTTGTTTAACCATTTCCCTCCTGCAGCCCTCTGCAGCCATTTACATTTATGCCTGCACCCATTAAAACATATAAATCACACCAAAATCTTTCAAGAAGTTTATGCAAATTCTATTTGATAATTAAGGGTCGGATGAGAGAGCAAGCGGATTGCCGTAAAAATTTTGAATATTAAATACTGTACGGTACTCCATTCAGCTCTAATGCAAGATTTTTTTATTTCTGAATCAGAAGGAATGAACTGGTTCCACTCAATACCACAATAAGAAAGGGGCATGGAAATGGTTTCTCCGACAGCCGTTCCTTGCTGTCAAAAGGGCCAGATCTAGCTAACAACAACAGAAAGAGAGCAAGCAAGAAAAAGTGCAGTGTGGACTTTGCGCTAAAAATCTATAGACCATGAGTGCCCTTCATTTATTATTATTCATCATGAACGTTATTTGATTTTTCACATCCCTGTTGCAAAGCTAATACCAATTACTGGTGACAAATTAGGCCTAGTTATAAACGTTGTATATCATTCAAGAATGGTTGCTTGCTAGTGTGCCTCTTCCTCTTACTGTCCATTCAAAAGATAACATATTCCGCCATTTAACCATTTTAATTTTTGTTCCACATTGTCTTGGCTTAAGGGAAAGCAGTTTTTTAGGCCCTTTATTCTTTGTAAAACAGGACGGAGCACATTTCGCAGCAAACGTATTTCTACTTGCCACTTTCCATGGAGCACAGCACTTGGAAAATATGCACCATAATCTTAATAACCGTCCAATGTTAGCTACTCCATATCATTAGTGGCCATCAGGTTGACACTTCGAGTAAACAGATTCAAAATCATATCAACAACTACTGCTAAAGAACCTCAGCTTTTGCAGTTCTTTTCACTAGAAATCTGCACAAACACCAGCCCAGAAAGGGTTTTTGGTAGTATAAAACAAAGTTTTGTAGCCCAAGCTTCTGCAGAATTCTCGTCACAGAATTTTACCCTCCGATCAAAGGTATAGCATGGGAAAGTGGTATTCCTGTTTCAGAGTTTTCTCGACCAAAAACAGGTGCAGTAATATCTGCCCACTTTTTTTTTTTGTGGGGCTTATTCTCCTGGGGCTTCAACTTCTACTAAGGCCCAAAAACTGTTATCTGCTCTGAGTTCGTTCTTAATTCCTGGAATACGCTGTAGCAAAAATGCTTGGGAATTTAAACCCCTGACATCTAAATCAGTTTCTGATGAAAAAACAACAGACAAATACAAGCGCTGGTTAATCAACAGGCTGACCGTGGACAGAAATATTTTTATCAAGGCATTATCTGAAAAAGGTGGCATGTCATAACGCAAATCGGAGCAATATTCTGATACCATTAAACACAGATGGATTAGACACCTAAAAAATGCAACAATTCAACTGTCAAAAAGAATGAAATACAAAGCCAGGGTGGGGCAGGAGGGCGTGTAAGCAGAAAGAGAAAGCCTCAAAACTGCTGGAAGATTGCTGCTCCAATCTGCTATTTTAGCTAATACAACAGAGAACCAGTCGAAACCTTCTCTAACGTATCACCACCTTTGCGAGGATAAATGCGGGATCAATCAAATATCTCTTGAGCTTCAATAATGCTATGCTGACTACAAAAACAAAAAAACAAGATGATTTTTGTGGGAAAAGTAGAACAAAGATTTAACTCTCTTAGTATTTCTTTTATTTTTGGGAGGGGGGTTGGGGTGGAGGGGAGCATAAAGATACTGGAAATTAATTGCAGATGGAAAAGTAGGCTTACTGGTCATCTTTGCTTATACGATAGTATTTTTCTGCATGCTGGCGTTGACCAATTAGTTGAGCAAACCGCTCATCATGAGTAATAACAATTAGTTGAAAATTTTCCTGTCCTTTCCTGTCCTCCATAATTCTGGACCACACAATCATATCAATACATAAATAAAAGTAAAGAGCAAACAGGAATCTACATCATGATTGACATCACGTAAATGAGTAGCCATACCTAAGAAGAGCTGCGGCAAGACTCTCGCTATTAGGGGCATCTAGGTTTGTCGTTGGTTCATCAAGTGCTAGTATTCCACAATTGAGGCAAAATGTTTCAGCTAGTGCTAACCGAATAATAAGTGAGGCGAGGACCTGAGTAAAGAAACATGATATTTAAGGAACAAGCAATAGTTCTCTTGCCAAACTCCTCCAGATTTGATCTAAGCAAAAAGCAGATTTAAGCATCATTTGACCTTTTGACCAGCACTGCACCTTCCTCTCATTTCTAGCTCCGCATCACCAGTTTGCATCAAAACCTGCAGCATTATATGATTCCAGTTTGATCAAATACTCACTAGATTTTATTGAACGGTTAAATCATGTCAGAAAAGCAATGGTAAAATTAGTTACATATCCACGGGTGAAAACATAGAAGATTGCAGAGATTGTTTACCAAGAAACGCTGCAGGAGACAAGGATTACATGGTGTCAAGTTTGAAAGATGTTGTCATTAGTAGAGGTAAGTTGATGAGACCACTTTGAGAAAATGGGTGCGCTCATTTGATTAGCAATTATGGAGAATGAACAGAAAATTGTGTAGAAGATTTAAGTTCAAAAGTACTCAGAAAAAGATAAGACACATTTCTCTGAAATAGAGTCTGCTGCTTAATGAATTTAACAAAGCATGAAAAGCCCAACTAATTAGAAATGTGCATGCAACGCCAGTAGAACATCAAGTACATGCAAAGGGCGCTGCATCTTCTAGACAAGTCAATAAATGTAAAACTTCAATTCTATGTGATGGAATGCTTTTAAACGATGCAATTGTGATTTTCGGTTTTACAAATATGCATGTCTAAAGATGTCTATGTCTTCTTGTAGTCGATGCATGTTTACAACCATCGATCTTTTGTTTCTGGATGAGATCCTCACATTTATGTTTCAATTGGATATGAAAAAAATTGCTTAAATGTTTATGCTATGCCTTCCTTCAGCATCTATTACCAACTATATCATTGTCATAGGACGCTTGCCAACAAAATTGTTTGTAAGCATTTGACTAACTGTCCAATTTTTGACATTTGAATTGTAACAAAATTTACAAGATGGCAGATGCCTGCCCCAAAGTGACAAAAGGCACTCAAGTCAACTCACTTGAACCCCACTTAAAATGATGTAAAATTAGATTGAAATACAAATACATATAAAGTTGGAAAAAAAGCAACCAGTTTCTCTTATTTAGAAACAGAGGACAGAAAAATAATTCACTACCTTATAGCTGTATGATCGAGTACCACCTCCTTCAGAATCTGAATGAATGCTTATGTAATCAATGTCCTGTCCCCTGTAAGTTTGTTGCCACAGTTCTCTTACAATCTTGTTTATTTCTTCCATTTTCATTGTGTGGAAGCGCATCAGTGCTCTAACAAAGCAGGCAAGAGTAAGATTACTATATCCTCATGGACAGAAGTACTGCCATGTTATTCAACTCAATAAAATAAAATAAAAGGAGCAGAGGCAATTTTGAACCTTTTTAGGCAAAATGACAGGTCAGTTCAATATTTGGACATCACTATTCAAGATTAATTACACCAAACAGCTCACAGTGCTATAGATTTTATATTACATTTGTACAATGAAAAGGTTAACATATGATTTGGTTTCCACTTTCATGGCTACTCTTCCCTGTTATGGGGACAAGGTTTTCATCTACATTTATTGCAACTATCGTAATACAAGAATAAGCAAGACAAAGGTTATCATATTCTTATATCCTAATAAAATCAAGGAAACGATGTGCAAGGACATGTATATGCATGCCAGAATATGTAGCCAAGAGAGGTGGGAATAAAAGGGACGCAAAACAACAACAATAAAATTCCCAAGTAAAGATGGATTGATGCAATCACCCAGAGGAAGACAGAAAACTTTAGAAGAACTTACTTATCAAGTGCGTTGTAATATCTGTCAAGATCCTTATTTGCCATCTCAGTTGTCTGTCAAAAATTGAACGATCATCACACACTTCATCGGTGAGTGCGCACATAATGAGGCATCAAAATCATACATTACCTTGAGCTGAATTAGCTGATCAAAATAGCGTTTATCAATGTCCTTGTACTGTGCCTGTTTAAGATCAATCTGATTTGTCGAAATATTGCTTCTATAGACAGCCATGGTGCCACGGCATCTGTTTAACTGCAACCAGAGGCAAGTCCCAGATTATTCTCAAGGAACAAATTCTGATGTTCACCCCTTGAACTAAAATATTACCACTTACAATGAGACAATTACATATAAATGCCACCAAGGTTAAAAATAATGACTGAACAGTTTTTTTCAACCAAAAGAAATGATTGTCCCTGAAGAAAAAGAAACAAGTTCCTTAAAGGGACAAACTTCCAATAAATACCTTAATTCCTAATGCGCTACCACCACTACACAAGCTTCAGATAAACAAGAGCACATAAACATCATATTACCTATAACTTTAAAGTAGATATCATCATCACAATTGAAATATACCAATCTTCGTTGAAAATTTGCTTTATGCCTAGTTATCTATATCAATCAATTACAAAGTACTAGTGTGTTCTGAGGCACATAGTTCTAAGACAAGAAAGCATGAAATAACCTGAAACAGTTTGACGCAGACTAGTCTAGAATGAAAAAACTATTTTTAGGAATGACTTGCAATATCTTAATCTTTAATTACAGAAACCAGAAATTGCAAATGATACATGGCTTTTGTAAACAAGTAGTTATGGGTAAGCAATACGAGTAACACAAGCTAAATAGCCATCTCTACCAAAAGCTTTGGCTCTGATTTTGTAATGACCTCAAAATAGTTTCAAAGGGACAAAAGGTTGCAATCCAAAATAAAC